ACATTGGCGCCTCTTGTTAGTATTCATAATGATTTAGCATGCAAGGGTTTTTCGAGGTCAACTGTAATCATTAATACCACGCTTCAATTTAATGATATTTGTTAGGGATGATAAATGGAAGCGACGCGTGGCACCATATTGCAGTGGTGGGACCAGCTTAGTTGGGCCAGGGTGTATTTTCCTAGTCTTTGGCATGGAGACCGAGGCCCCAGCTTATTCCGAGGCCTTAACTGATCCGAGGCTTTCGTTTATTACAGGGCTATGTTATCAATGAAGATCCACGTGGAAAAGATATAGCAATGATGAAGATCTTCATATAAGTGATTGATGTGACTTTTGTGAAAAGCAACTTTATGTCTTGTCTTGTCAATGTAAGAGTATTTAATGTTTTGTAAGATTAGGAAAGTCAACTTGATTGCTAGGATTTGATGCCCTGACCGAGGAAATGAGGCCACGTGTAAATTGATCCAGATGTCATTATTTCATTTGTAACAATATAAATACCCCCACCATGTAACACAAAAGGGGTAATTCCAAATATTTGAAGCAATATCATTCTCCTCTCTCTCATTGGAACATCGAATTTCAATTATAAATCTTGTTTTTATCGATTAGTTCCTTATACAATCGTGTTACATTTATCTTGCCGGAAGCTCGAACGAAAACGTCTCGTGTCTTTGAGCTATTCTCACGTTCAGTTTCTGGAGTCATCTTGACCGTTGATCGGCATTAATGTGTTGGATCAAGCTTACGTGTGTACGAGTGGGCCCAGCATCTGTTGGTAACATTTTTTTGGGTCAACAATATTAATGCCCACGAGTAGATTCACCAAATGAAAAAATTTGTGAGAAAATAACTGGATGGAAGAATAGTAAATTGTGGGGATCGGACTCCCATGAATGAATTCTTAGTGTCTTGAAAGTTGAACCTTGTTACTTATCCTGAACCCAATGAAGAACTATATCGAATTTTTCTATGCTGTGTGATTCTTGGTTCCAAGGCAATTTCCAAATACTCTATGGTTTGTTAAAAGCTTGTTTGTTTGGGATTATCAAATTCTACAGTAAATCAATTCTCATTTTCAACCATACATTATTCAATAAAATAATATTTTCCATCACATCAATAATTTTTTCTTCTTTTTCAACCACACATTTCCCGTCATATCACTATTGAAAAATCAATTCTTCCCCCAAAAATCCCTACCAAACAAGCTTTCAATAAACAACCAAGAAATAATGATACCCTAGTCTTGTTCTAAAAGAACACAAGAGACTACAACCATGCAGTCTTTAAAATTAATAAAACTGCAAAGCAAGGCCATAACTGTTGATACTATGGAAACATCCTAAAAGGATCTGTCCATNCTTGACCTATGTTTTCTTCTTTCCCAATACTTCCACTTTTGGTTCTTTTGGTTCCTGCCATGCATGTGACCTTTCTCAAAACTCCAAGTTTATCTGCTACACTTTTTAGTACCTTGACTTGGTAAATGGATGGTGAATTTTCCTACCGACACCACTAAGGACCTGTTTAATGGCATTTGTTCTCCGAATATTTTCCATTTTCTAGCTTTTGCCTTGTATGATGGAAGAAATTTTTCATGGAAATCATTTTCTCACTTCCCTTCACACATGCACTTTTTCTTGATTTTTGATGAATTTCTTTTCCCACCTTTTAGGTGGGTTTTTTTTTTGACAATTGGAACAAATTCTAGATCCGATGGTAAAAAAATTATCACTGTTATTAATAATTTCCATATAGAACAAAGTCAAACGTATTATATTCGGTATGGTAATTTTTTTAAATTTTTTTGACAACTGAAACAAATTCTAGACCCAATGGTAGAAAAAAATATCACTTTAATGAACAATTTCCATAAAAAATGAAACCAAACGGATACCAAACTTTCAACATTTTTCAGGTGGAAAATTATACCAATCAAATACAATTAATTACAATTTTCAATAAAACAATTTATAAACAATTCAATTCCCTAAAATTCATTTTCTTTCCACCCATTTTCCAACTTCGTAATCAAACGGACCCTTAGATTAAATTGTTGAGACTTGGGATTCCATATTAAAAGTCAACCTTATTAAAAGGAGTCCAAACCCTTAAAAATTAGTCTATATTTTCGACGTGGAATTTTATTCCTTAAAATAAATGAATAGAAAGGGACAAGATATCAAACTGCCTCCACATGGGAAAAATAACCAGTATATGTAGACATTACTGTGAAGGAATAACAGCATGAATGAAATACTTTTCATATCCCTTTTCTTTGTTCTCAGAGAAAAATAAAAATTGTGATGAAAAACAAATTACCAAGATTCTGATGACCTTATTCAGATTTGGACATCAGTAAGGAAAACATCACAGGATTCAAATATTAGATCCTTGCCTAAAGGAGCTATATGTCCACACTAATTGGTAAAGTATTGAAGTTACTGAAAGAAATGTTAATGCAATCCTTAAACAAACCACATAATGAAACCCGTAAAAAGGAAATAGGAAGAAAAACAGAAAATAGATCTAAAATCAAGAACCTCGTAAGTTGCAGTTCCATGCCAGGAATATGCGTCCCAAAACGTAGATGTCAAGATCTCCAATAGAACTGATATAGCTCTCTCCTCAAGTGACAATATGAACAAGAACTAGACTTGACAACGTATAATACAAAATAAAGGCGTGCGAGGAAACCTATATGATATTTCCTAATTTAAGATACTATGGAGAAAGTTAACAGGGCAACAGAAATTAACACTAGAAATCTAAAAAGGAACAATAAGAAAAGTACAAACAACAAAATTTATAATGATCCTGATTAATTACTCACAACTTAAATCTTTTATTTCAGTCGTCTGTTAAAAATATTAGATTTTTTGGACTTTGGAACATAACCAAATCTAGGCTGAACCTTGCTTGATGTACACAAATTATGGTTCACAGACCATTTACACACACTCACAATAGGGGTGGGTGGAATTTTTTGGCACTTTTTATTTTAGTGGGACCCACACATTTGTAGTATTGGCCCCCATTTGGGCCACCTTTTTATCTTATTAAAATGAAAAATATGATCATTATCCAACACATCAACATTTAAATTCAAAATTTCTTTCTTTTGTGTGGACCCCAATAACGACTATATTTTTTCATTCTCATTCTACAAAAAGATGATTCAAACGGGGTCTTGGTAAGAATTCTGTAAACAATTGTTCTGTACATTTGGCTTTACTCATCTAGGCTGAATTATGCTATAGGCAGTACACACGTACCGTGCTAACAAAACGAATTTGCTTCATTTTAAAGAAATAAAACAGTACGGAAAAAAAGTGGGTACAATTGGCAATTTGACATACCAGCAAAACAGACTTTACTCGCATTTTATAATAGTCTACTGTAGTACTGTTTCTCTTATACACCTTTTCTTTTGTAAAATGGAAAGGAGTTGGTTATTCCTATCATCATTTTGGTATATATACCTACACATTCCATTTTTGTAGGGGAATAAGCCAATTCCACTACGATATAGAATCGTTAATGCTGTGGTTGTTGGTAGAGGTGTCAAGACGGACGGGCCGACCATGACCCGTGAAAATCGGCTCGTGAAAATCGGGACCGCGGGCCGACCCGTGACCCGTGCGGGCGGTTCACGGGCCAAGGAGGTGTAACCCGCGGGCTTCGCGGGTTGCACCCCCACGGGCCGCGGTTAACCCGCGGCCCGTAAAAAAAATTAAAAAAAAATAAAATAAAAATTAAAAAAAAGGGGAGAGATTATTTTTACAATACCCTCTCATTAGTTATTATACATTTATACTTTATAGTTCATACTTGTTACTACCTTACTACAATTACAATTATTCAATTGCAAATATCATCATCATCTTGATTATATTTCTTTCTTCTCGATTCTCACTAGTCACTACTAAATTTTTTAATCCTACTATATTATGGATTCTCGCGATTCTTTTTCTCAAAATCCTATTTTCAATAATAGTTGCTCTCCAATAAATTTAGAAGATGATAATGTTGTTTAAGTTTGCAAAGTTATAAATAATTCATGTAACATTAAATTTGAATTCTATGTAAAAATTTCTTGATATAATTATGAATTTATCATTTTGTTCAATTCTTAGTTTACATTTAATAAAAAAATATATTTTTTGCTATAAATATGAAAAATTCTATATTTTTATAATTTTATTTATACAATCATACGGGCCAAAATCGGAACGAACCGCGACCCGCGCGACCCGTGACCCGCATGGGCTCGACCCGGATGGGTCAGCGGGCGGACCTGGGTTGTAGTCCAAAATTGTGGGCCGACCCGTAACCGGCCCGGAACCCGCAGCGGGCGGGCTTTTTTTCACGCGGGCCGTTACCGGGCTCACATGTTGGCGGGCCGACCCGGCCCGGACCACCCGGATTGACACCTCTAGTTGTTGGAGACGAATAGGGTTTGCAATTCATTATAAAAGTTCGGGTCTTTTATACTTCTGCAGTTAAAACTGTACAAATATTGAATTCATCCCTGCTCTCTACGTTCAAGACACTGTTTTCTTTATTAGTTATCAGTTTTAAGTCATAATCATTATTACAGTTTTTACAAGCTTGCGAAACATGCAGTTTTTACTTGGAAGAAACACGTAATGTTTGTGTGTAACCAAAATTTAATCGAACCAAGATTGTTTCATTTTGAAGTTGGGCTCTAAAATAATCCAGAATACAGAATGATTTTATAAAAAGCCTAACAACCGTAGTTATGCACAAGATGCAGACCCAACTTTTAAATACAATGCAGGATTGTACCAAACACGGACACCAGAGACCATCTACACATCCAAAATGCTGGGACGGACTCTACTGTAAAAGAATCATATGTTGATTCTAACCATGATTTTTCATTTTTACATACATGGGAATGGGAGCCGGAACCCAATTCCGGCCCATCACTCTCTGCCAGTAATCCAGAATACTGAGCAGAAATCGGGAGTTTATATACATGATGATTGAAGGAAGTGGAATCCGCTTGTTTCCATTTGTTCCTCTCCTCCTAAAGGGCAACATGGACATTGACTTCTATGGTGAGCTCGAAAATGTAACACCTGCATAAATATGGAGACAAGATTAAAAAGAGAAATGACAAAAAGGTGTAAACGCATAAATATCTTAATCTTCAATATTCCTCTTCTTCTATATTCAGATTTTCAGAGGTCACTTGAACAAGACCAGATATACCCCCTTTTCCAATAGCCGAATATATTTAGCTTCAAGATTGGACCAAGATGCAAGTCAAGATTGCATCACCTGGGATAGAAGCATAATTGCATGCTGAAAATATAACAGCGTTGTGGAGTGTGAACTCTTCCCACAATCAGTTTTGTCATTGAAATATAATACCAATTTTAGTTGAATTACATACTCTGAGGTGCTACTTACCCTCCCAGCACTAAACTACATTCGCAAAAATGAAGGGACTTTTTGGCTGGATAAGCTACCACTCTTCTTTTGGTAAAACTTCAGACATATGAAGCTAAGGCCACCCAACCCAGGAAAAAAAGGAACAAAGGCATTAATGCACTGGACATGATACACACATCGATCTCTATTCTATTCTTGTTCCCTTAACTTTCTTTACATAAAGCATGAAATGACGACATTAAGACCACCTGGTAGCTAATATAAAATTAGGGATCATGGATCAGAAAAAGTAGTGAAAGGATCAAGCCTCAGTTGTCACTTAGAACACCTGGAGACCTTCAGTTCTATCACTTACCACAAAGTTTAGTCTTGAACCTCCCGACTCAAACTTGCTCGAGGTAAGTAAATGTAATAACTGCAGTTTCCAGTCTTTAGCCTGTGTTCAATCAGTTCTTAGAAATACCTACTACATTTTTGGGTAGAAAACATTTTCATTTGTCATCTTTCCGTTTTGGAGAAAGTACCAAGTAATCCCGATCAACTGTTAGCATTAGGATGAGCATTTTAATTACAGAATCGGATGCCATAATTAAGTATTATAGTTGTAGAACCAGACAGATTTAATTAGGGGTGTCCAAAAGTCCCGAACCGAACCGAACCGGACCGAACTGAATCGAGCGGTTCTTCATAAATTAAATATCCGAACGGGTACCCGAATCGAGAACCGATGGGTTTGGGTCGGGTCTAGACCAAGAACCGAATAAGAACCGAAACTAAATAATTTTTTTATTTTTTATATTGAATTAATTAAATTATTTTATTTTTTTTATAAAAACTAGCAAATTAATTAAATAAATTAAATTATTTCATAATTTTAATTTTAAAGCCCAAATCATTTTTAAAATCCATTAGCCAATTTTAATTTGAAACAAATGAATATACTTTATGTAGTTTTGCCGTAATATTAATATCTACTTTTTGGTATTTGTATGCATTGAATTAATTTTATTGGCGGCTAGTTATTTATATGTTTTTGAATTGGGCTACGTTAATTTGTAAAAATTNGATTATAGTACGGAACCGAACCGACCCGAACCGAACGGAACCGAACCCGAACGGTTCCATAATTATATTTGGACCCGACGGGTCCATTTATTAAATACCCGAAAGTTTTGGGACGGTTCGGGTCTCTTCAGAACCGAACCGACCCACGGACAGCTCTAGATTTAATAATAATAAATATCTAAACGTTCACTAAAAGGTCAAACAACGGTAAGATTATTCACATTTCTAGACTTAAACTTGCATGTCACATACACTGATCACCGATTATTATTCGCAAAATAAATTTTTTAGTCAATCATAGAAGTATAATAAATTGTTTGCAAAGAAAATATACCTCTAGAATGCAAAATGGATAATTTGCAAGGCTAGATTTGAAGCCCGCCACTCAAGTAGCAGTACTGCTGTTCTTAGTCCTGCTGCAATCTAAGGGTACCTGCAAAATAGCACCAAAATTATAATAAATATATCTAGAAAGAATAATATGATATCTACAACAACACGGAGAAGATAACAGACACTTACTATGATCAACCCTCACCCAGCATTTTGGTCAAAACTGCTACCTTGCACGAATTGAGGAGAACGAGCAGATAGTATGAATTGTGGCTGCGGAGTAATAGGTGCTGCAGCACCTGATACAACTAAAAAGCTCAACTCGGATCTGCCTATTCAAAATCATAAAATAGCAAAATGTACCATTTCTAGGAGAATCGAAAAGATGTAACATTGACCACCAGCCACATTCTGTGAACTAAATGTCTTCTACTTAACACACATATAAATGAGAAAGGCCCCAATTGACAGAAGATCCAGAGAAAGAGAGAGACAAGATTATTCTTTGGGTCGATGGGCAATAGGGTTCCCATTCAATTTTATTATCAAAAGCATTAGAAACCTGTATTTTCATAGCAAATAGGTCAACTCTGACTTGTTTCTTCTGATTTTGAACAACAGACCATAGCATCGTTACAGATTATAGGGAACTAAAATGATGCCAAGTACACATAAATAGGACTTGCAATGAGTACATAAAAAAATAGGACCCATACAACATGTTTTTCTTGTAAATGATCCAAATAAATTACAAGAGATGGAAATTTTACCTGCAGGGAACGGTGCTGGAACAGATGAAGTTGCCATTGCAGTGACGCTTGGCCCACCAAACTGTACTATCGGGTGACCAGATATTGCATATCCCTGCAACGTCGTAAAACCTTGACTTCCTGGAACAGCTTGGCTCAAAGAACTGTAAGGATACATAGTGTTGTTTACTGCTCCAGGAACACCATAAATTTGAAGGTATTGCTGACCTCCGTAAGGATTGTACACGCCCTACAAGACAAAACAACAATGACTGTGTGTCAAAAGCCAGTTTGGCATCATGAAATTACCACAGCAACAATAGTTGTAAAGCTAGTGACCTGGGGATAAGCATATTCTGGACTGTAAGCAGCATATCTGAAACAATAGAAAAGATGAAATAAAGTGATAACAAACTTCTTAAGTACGAGTTTATATTCCAGAGAACATATCATGTAAAAAAATTGTTATATGTAACTCCATTTGGAATAAGGATTCAGATAAATAAATGATATTATACAAATTTTTACATGTAAAATTATTTTTTAAAGGAGCCAAAAAGGGGGACACGCGCCCAAAAATAGAAATCAAAAAACAAAAAGATAATTGGTGACCATTTGCATTATCCTCGTATACCTATCGACAATAATACTTAAATCTCATGCCAAAAAATGACAAAAATCTACATTTGATGGCACATTGCAATCCCACAAGTGTACCCCTACTTACCAGTTAATTTTTCCGTCATATGTATCAATCAATCTTTCCAGCTCTTTAAATTTCACGCTCTTGCTTCAATCATCTCTCCCTCTTCTTGTTCATGTTTCACTGACCTCATCCAATGTCCTCTGGACATCTAACAGTAAATTCCTAGTCCTACATTTGATAGCACATTGCAATCCCACAAGTGCACCCCTACTTACCAGTGTCTTTTTCCATCATAAGTATCAATCAATCTGTCCAGCTCTTTAAATTTCACGCTCTTGCTTCAATCATCTCTCCCCCTTCTTGTCCGTATTTCACTGACCTCATCCAATGTCCTCTGGACATCTAATAGTAAATTCCTAGTCCTACCCTCCTCTTGACAAGAAGACACCCCTAGAAACTTCTAAACTTTTTCATTTTCTCCCAATAAAAATCAAGACTACTTCCCCTACCTAACCCATGTAACTCATGTCAATATACTCAACAAAATAGACAAATTATAGAGAAAACAGAGCACTAATCAGCAAAGATGTTAAAGTGGAATGAACGATTATAAAGCATTCAGTAGGTTAAATAACACAAATTCCACATCAACATTATTTTCCACACTTGTTCTTTCTTTTGGTTCATTTCCTCCCAAATCACCAATAAAATGCATACAGATCCAACCAACTCGTTCCAGTCTTTCAAAAGTCCTCTTCGAATACTAGATGACTCATTATGTTTATAATACGTTGCTCACCCATATGGAGAATACATCAAGCCTTGCTGGTAACCATAGGAGGGTGGTTGCTGATGGCCAAAACTTCCAATATAAGGACCCCTGGCAGCTGGTAGCCCTCCAAGGTAAGGTGCTGGAGATCTAAGACGTCCTATAAGCAATAAAAAGCATAGAATCAAACGTACTTTATAGTTAATTGAAATCTAACTGAAAAGATCAATATCTGGGATTACAGACATGCTGTCATGCTTTCAAAATTCCAAAAGACGATTACTTAAGGTTACAGATAGATCTGGGTGGGACTACTACTCCCCATAATGGTAACCTCCTTGGGGTTGGAAACATTTTCCTTTCTCTTCCGGTCCGTGAAGCTAACCAAAATGCATTGAGATGGAAGCAAAACTTGGATTATGACAATCAAAATGTGGATTGTCTTCCACAGATTTTTTTTGGCTATTTTTAATGTGCAAGTTCTCTCTGTCAACAATTAAACAATTTAAATAAATGGAGTATACGCCCCCACCTAGTAGATATATGAAATGCCTCAATTCAGACTTCTGTTTTTAAAGCATTATTTTGCATGAAATAACCCCGATAAAATTCGTAAAATTGAAGGAATGGGGCCATTCTTTGGATACAATGGATGGCAAACATTTTCCTGATGAGGTCAAATTACATATGATTAATAATTATTTTCTTAATCATTCTTCGATATATTTGGTCTAAATTTGTCAACATCATTGAAAATTGATTGTATACACATGCATTCACAAGTGTGGTTAATGTTTGAAAGAAGAACTGAAAGCTGAGATTTATTTTCTGCCAACACCGCCAATGTGAACTCAGCTGATATTCAGCTGTCCAACATAAGTGGTCTTTTAGAAACTTCGGTATAATACTCTTCTTATGCATGCCTATGAGAACAACATCATGAAATCAAAACTCTTTTAAGGTTTCAATCATCAAAATTGCGAAATTTCACTAAAGATGGCATTCCTTCAAGAACAATTGACCATGAACAAGTGTGATAACTATAGTCCAATAAGGTAGGTTACCAAAGGGCATGACGGGACGAGGGCGTCCGAGTGAAGCCAAATTACAATTCGCTCTTCTCCCATCAATAATTGGACTCGGATCAGCACATGCCCTCCTAGCAGACTCTGGATGCCGGAAAGTCACCTAAACCCTCCATACAAATACCAATTTAAAGCAAGTCATTCCATCAGCCACATTTGAATTCATATGTAAATGATTAATAAACTAATGACAGAAATCCCTTGATGACAGTAAATGCATTTCAAAATTAAGAAAAACAAACAGTTCCCAGAATTTTAAATTGCATATTTGAGTACCAAGGCGACATAATTGGTAATCAGAATACAAAATAGTGAAATATTAGAATTTGAAAAGTAACAATGAAACACTCACAAAACCGTATCCTTTGGATCGGCCGGTGTTCTTATCCGTGATGACAACTGCCTCGAGAATTTCACCAAACTGCTCAAAATATCGCCTCAAGGTCTCACTCTGAGTCTCCCAGGCCAGCCCTCCAACGAAGACTTTAGTGAAAGTGGTGTCCCCAAATGGAGAATTCATATACTGAAACCCACCTGGACCCAAACCAGAGCTTGGGCCATGAATCAACGGTGGAGGCTGATTAGCCATATAATCAGCCAAATTACTTCAACTTTTCAGTCAAAAAGGACAAAGGAACTAAAGTTTCAAGAATCTGGAAGAAAGGAGTTTAAATAATTGCGAAAGTAGTAGCGATCCTAAATGATACTAAAATTGATCAAATGAAGACAAATTAACAATTTTTAACAGAAAAAAAAACCCCCAAGAAAGGCTGAAAGAGACTGAAAAGCCATTTGATTTTGGATAAATGTTTATACATGGGAAATGGGATAAACAGAGAATACGGATTTCGAATTTGAATTAAAAAAGCAAGAAAAAGAATGAGAGATCAAAGAGCACAAAGATCAAGAAAACAGAAGCAGAAATTAAGGAAAAAGAAAACCCTAGAATTAAGGTGGAATAGAGTAAAAGAGATGAAGTGGGGTTGGGAGCAGAATAAGCACGCATACATACACATATATATACATACAGATTACGAGGTGGTTGTAGGGAAAAGGTAAATCATAGAATTTAACAGTTTCACTTTGAAATAACAAAAGGATTAACGATAACAATTTGTATTTACATGTTTGTGAAAAGAGATTAAAAAGAGGGTAAATCAAGTGATTAGTGTGGTGAAGGGTGAAGGAAACTTGGAGGGATTAGGGTTTGAATTTTGAGAAGGGAGAGGGTGGTGATGATGGAGAGAGATAAAATGAAACAGAGTCATGATTTTTCACACAGGAGAAGAGGGGACAGGGACAAGGAAAGGAAACGGGGGCTAAATATGAATATGAAAATGGTTTCTTCGTCCATGACGTGGCATTTGTTGGCCACTTCAACAGTGTGTCAATGTATTTCGTTCTCTCTTCCCGATCTTTCTATAATATTCACAAATTTGCTTAATAATACAAAACGTCCCTACATTTGATATGTAGTGTGCAAAATATTCCAACGTTTTTTTTTTTTTTGCATTTTCGCCCTTATTTCAACGTTTCATTGCTGAAAACGTCATTTTCACTATTTTTTAGTATAAAATGACCAATATACATTTTTATATAAATAAAACAAAAAAAATAAATTGTAATTATATTCCCAAACTTTTTAAAAAGTACAAGTGAGTTCAAAAGCCTTATTAAAAGGTTTAAGCACAAAACGTCCCTACATTTGACACTTATTTCGAAAAATGTCTTTACGTTTCAAACTTTTTGTACTTGGCTCAATAGCACAAAACGTCCATACATTTGACATTTATTGCGTAAAACGTCCTTACGTTTCATTTCTTTTGCATTTTCGTCTTTATTTTAACGTTTCATTGCAAAAAACGTCATTTTCACTATTTTTTAATGCAAAATGACCAATTTACCCTCATATTTAAATAAAACAAAAAATAAAAAAATAAATTACAATTATACTCCCAAACTTTTTAAAAAATGCAAATGAGTTCAAAAACTTTATAAAAACATTCAAACCATTAGCATTCTCCTCCTCCCTCAGCCATATCCTTCCTCCACCACCTAAACCACCAGACCCCACCACCATTCAAACAATCTCACCTCCCTCTACAATGCTGGGGCTAATGGTTGTGGCCATCATTAACGGTGGTCGTGGTGGTAGAGCTAGTTTCCGGCCAGACATTGACCTGAGGTTGTAGAGGTAGGTGATATGGTTTGAATGGTGGAGCGGTCTAGTGGTTTAGGTGATGGAGGGGGGAGAAGGTTGAGGGAGGAGGAGGAGAGAAGAGGGAAAGCGAATTTTTTTTTCCATTTTTTTTTTTTTTTT